CATAAGCAAAGCAAAATACACTCAGATTTGGGGGAAAAAATTCATCATCAGAAAACCTTCCCACGCCGGAAAAAAAAATGATGTATTGAAATTTTAGCTGGAAAAAGTTTTCTCAGCTTACATTCGTTTTTATTTCTTTTGCTCTTCCTCCCACACATAAATTACACTTTCAATATATATATAATAAAACACACTTAGATCGGGATAAAAATCTGTCGCCGGAAAAAATGGTGTTTGTGAAATTTCGACGACCACCATTTTATGCCGCCGGTGACCAGAACAAAAAGAAAGAGAATGAAATAACAAAATAAAAATGAGAATAATAAGAAATAAGAAAAAAGGATAAGAAAAAGAAGAAAGAATAAAAAAAGTACTAAAAATACATGTGGGAGTGCGTGTAGCTCACCACTTGCCAAGAGTTTGGTTGTCAGCATTAAGGGTGCAAATAATTATATTTAAAATAAGTTTAGGGGGGTAATAGGATTCTCGCAAAGAAAAAGTGTGTAGTTGGAAATTCGGGTATAGGTTAGGGGGGTACTTATGCATTTTCCCTAAAAAAAATAAAAAAATATAGAAAGACATAAATTGAGATAAGCTATGACTATTTGTACTTTGGAGCTATAAAATAAAACTAAAATTTACTTACGATATTAAATATTTATTGAGTGTAAAAATTAAATAAATTCAAGCAGCAAATTAAGATCTTACATAAAGTATACAAATTATTTATAAGGTAAAAAAAATTAAATAATCAAGAAAAAATAATTTAATAACAAGAATAACAAACTCATATTAATATTGATAAATCATGCAAACGAATATTTTATACATAAATACTACTGGCAACATTTAGATATAATGTGTTCAAATAATTAAGAAAATATTTTTCTATGATTAATATTTGAATTGAGTGCAGATAGTTTAAATTTGAAAGCATAACATACTTTTTTAAAATGCGGTCCAAATTAGAAAATAGAATGATAAAAATTATTTGAATTTGAGATGAGAAAGTTTTTAAATTTTTATCAATATTATATTAGAATGAATGTGGTAGAAATAGATATTAAATTCAAACAAGCTAATAAAAATTCACATGACAATGTAATAATATTAGTTATTGAATAATATAATATTAAAAATAAATAATAAATAGAAAAAAAAATTAAAATTCAGATTTTTTATCATAGAGAGAAGGGTAAAACTTATTTAAATTTGAGATGAGAAGCTTTTTTAATTATGATAAGAAAAGTCATAATATGGATAAGTCCACATAACTCAAGTCTAATAGATAAAATCAAAAACTAAAATATTGAATAATAAAAATAAATTAGAGAAAATGTGAGGAAATTTGTAAATCATAAGTTTAGAAAATAAAATAAATGTAAATATACAATACTTAAAAAATTTAAAATTTTGGAGAAATATTTTAAAAACAAAATAAATATTTATTTTATGATTACAAAAAATTATATATATTAATAAATAGAGAAAAAATAAAAATTTAGATTTTTTATCATAGAGAAAAGGGTAAAATATATTTAAATTTGAGATGAGAAAGGTTTTTATGTTATGATGAGAAAAGTCATAATATGGATAAGTCCACATAACTCAAGTCTAATAGATAAAATCAAAAACTAAAATATTGAATAATAAAAATAAATTAGAGATAATGTGAGGAAATTTGTAAATCATAAGTTAAGAAAATAAAATAAATGTAAATATACAATACTTAACAATATTAAAATTTTCAAGAAATATTTTCAAAACAAAATAAATATATATATATATATATATTAATAAATAGAAAAAAAATTCTGATTTTTTATTATAGAGAAAAGGGTAAAACTTATTTAAATTTGAGATGAGAAAGTTTTTTATATTATGATAAGAAAAATCATAATATGGATAAGTCCACATAACTCAAGTCTAATAGATAAAATCAAAAATTAAAATATTGAATAATAAAATAAATTAGAGATAATGTGAGAAAATTTGTAAATCATAAGTTTAGAAAATAAAATAAATGTAAATATACAATACTTAAAAATATTATCAAAACTTAAATTTTTTTAAATTTTCGAGAAATATTTTTAAAACAAAACAAATATTTATTTTATGATTACAAAAATTTATATATATTTATCTATATTATATAAAGAATAGTAGTGATAATGATATTAAATAAAGTTACAAATTAACGAAAAGCCACATAAAACGTAATAAAACTATATATTAGATTAAAAAATAGCAAAATTATATTAAATTATTAAAAATTTACTATTAGAAAGAAAGGGAAAGACTATTTGAATTTGACATTAAAAAGTTCTTAAAACTGTGTTGAGAATGCTCAAACTATGGAGAATACCACGAAATTGAAGTCTTATTTTTGAAAAATAAAAAAACAAATACATATTTAAAAATACATAATATAGGTACTAATGAAAATTAGAAATTAAATTTGAATCTTAAAACTAAAAAAGAAAAAACATTACGTAAAGAAATAAAATGACAGTGAATACTACAATATTTAGATATAATGTGTTCAAACAATTAAGAAAATATTTTCCTATGATTAATATCTGAATTGAGTGCAGTTAGTTTAAGTTTGAAAGCATAGCATAATATTTTGAAAATGCGGTCCAATTTACAACATAAAATTATAAAAATTATTTAAATTTAAGATGAGATTTTTTTTTATTTCATAATTTTTTTATTTTTGAAAATGTCATGTAAAGAAATAAAACAGTAAAAATATTACTACAATATTTAGATATAATGTGGTCAAACAATTAAGAAATATTTTTCTATGATTAAATTAAAATTCTAAAAATATAAATTAATTTCTAATATAGGTAATTTTACTAATGATAGTTAGAAATTAAATTTGTATCTTAAAGCTAAAAAGAAAAGAAAATTTAACTGCATCTAATACAAAAATAATTATAAGAGAACTCAATATATTTGGAACGTAATAATCAAATAACTTATGTATTAATATTTTAGACTAATTCAAAGTTATAATTTAAAATAAAATATGATATTATTTTGGTTATAGGTAAAATATTAATATAAAAACTATTTAAAATATAGTAGGGAAGAGATGTATAAAAAAATAAAGGTAGTGCGATTTATACTTTAAATTAATTGAAAAATAAATAAATTAAATAATTAAATTATATTTAAAAATCTTACTATTAAATTTAAATGATTAAAAATTCCGAATAAGAGGATACAAGCATAAAAATATACCAAATTTTAAGAATAAAATATTTATATTTATTAAAGACAATTAAAAAGATAATAAGCAAGATATTAATTAAATTATTAATCTAATAAAAAATCATATGACAGTATAATAACATTAAATAATAAATAATACAATAACTATAAGAAAAGAACAAAAATAAAAAAGAATTTGCATAAAATGATGTGATGAATAAGACATATTTGACTTTCAGTCAAAAACAAAGTGATAATAAGAATTTTCTTAAAATAATATGATATAATGTGCTCAAACAACACAGATCACAACATGACATATTTAGTATTTTTTAATATTGACACTGAAACAAAATACAAGTACTAAAATCAAGGGATTATGTTGCTACAAATAAAATAAAAGTTGTCTACTACGAGATTTGAATAATAATTTCATATCTTGCTTCAAAATTAATATCTAATGTTATATAATTTTTATATGAAAGGTTTATATTTTAAGGTTATTTGCACATAATTCAAACAACATAGATTACAATTTGATATAATTTGTGTCCGCGCATCGCGGGGTACTAATACTAGTAATGGATAGTATGGCATTAATTAGAACCAAATATTACAAAATGAGATTATTATTTTTAAAATAAATATACTGAAATAAGCAAAGGAATTAATTAAAGGCGCCATAAATAGAATGGTAAATAAATGCAGAATTCAATGGTAGTAATAGAGTAATTAGATTACCTAAAATTAAGGTAATCAGATACTGTATCTGGCAGTAGTAATTATAGTAAAAAATTGAAGTCTAAAGAATTGGGGAATGTATTAAAGAAGAAGTGCCCAGCAATTCACTCAATCAATTCATTCTACTGATTTTGCCTTTCTTCATCGGTTTCTTTTCTTCACGAATAAGCATTATCTCTCTGTTTTCTGTCCTAATATGGCCACCCATGATAATGATGGTTGGCTTTTCCCTGAAGATGTAGCAATGGAGATTCTAACCAGGTTGCCGGTCAAATCCTTGTTGCGATTCAAATGCGTCGGCAAATACTGGTACGAAACAATCACAAGCCCTATCTTCATCAAAGAACACAACAACAACAACAACAACGACGACGACCCAGTATAATCCCACAAGTGGGGTCTGGGGAGGGTAATATGTACGCAGACCTTACCCCTACCCCGAAGGGTAGAGAGGTTGTTTCCAGGAGACCCTCGACTCAAAAAGCAACAGGAGCCAATATATTAGTACCGTAAAAATGCATAGTAAAATAACAGCAATACAAGAGATATGAAATACAGAATACGAAATATGAAAAAGATGGCTGGTATAGTAAAACTAGCAGGTAAAGCCCTGCATCAATAGACCAACGACATTCTTAGTCTAACACCTAANCTCCACTCTTCAGGCATCCTATTAGTCTTGAATATAACACTAAACAATGCAGTAAGCCACTCCACGCCTGCTCTACCCACACACCTCCACATTTCAACCGGAATTTCGTCTGGCCCGGTAGCTCTGCCCCTTCTCATCTTACGCATTGCCTCCATGACTTCATCGATCTCAATGTCCCTATAATTACTTAATTCATGGTGACTGTCGGCATTCCTCGATTCCCCAGGTCTAATTTCTTGATCTCCTTCTCCACATGAATCAGAAATCCCCTCAAATCTTGATTTATAATCATACTGCCCCAGATTACGCCCCTCCAATCTATTTTATTTCGGTTTCAGATGCTGGTGCAATTAAATATCCACTCGATTATCTCCGGGGCTTTAGAGGTATGGCGTACCTTTTAGGTTCTGTGGATGGCTTATTTTTGTTGGAGCGAGAAATTGATGACAGCATATACAACATCTCCTTGTCATTGTGGAATCCTGCCACCAGGGAAGTGAGGCCCCTTCCTGCAGCCAACTTCCAGCTTCCACCATTTTTCACACAAATGAGCAGTAATTTTGGGTTCAGATTAGACCCCATAACTAATGACTACAAGGTTGTTTGGTTTCGGTCCTTCTGGGATGACGACAGAAATCATAATACTCCAGAATATGCAGCAATCTATTCTTGTTCTAGGGATTATTTGAGAGTCCTTGAACCTGCAAATCTCGTACATGAATTCAGCGCAGATGTCGTTGGTACTGCTTATTTAAATGGAACTTATTATTGGCTGCTATGTGGAGGGCTTTATTATTTTGATGATTGTAGCATTCTTTCATTTGACTTTGGTAATGAGGTGTTTGCAGATATCGGAGGTCCAGATGTTGGGCGCGCTTTCAATCACTTCAATGTGAGACTGGTATTGCTTGGTGACTTCATTGCCCTCATGACCGATGTTGTAGGATTTGTTTATGATATATGGGTAATGATCCAACCGGGTGTTTGGATCAAACAATTTACCGTTAAAACCCCTTTGTATATAATGTCTTGGTATTCTAGAACTCTCATTTTTATAGATAAACGTTGTCGCCTATTCTCCTATGATGTCAGGACTCAGACCACGAGGAATCTTGGATTTCGTCATACAGGCCTGAGGAGAGCGGGTACCAAAGAGGGCCGTACCGTTCATTTTTTTAAGGAGAGCTTAGTAAGAATTAAACGAGAGAATGGAGAGCCGAACCATTGAAACTTACGGACATATTTGACTCCTTGATTAAACTTTAAACAGGAGTGGAACTTATGTGATATATGATACATTACGGAGGTAGCTTAGTTTATGTCTCATATGTCACATATATCACATTGTATGAATAGGTGTATATATATACTATATATTGAACCCTTTTAACTTCTTTTGTGTGTTTACTTCGTTATAATTTGGCAACCAATACTAGAAAAACTGGTCCCGCGACTGATGATGGGTAAATTCTATGACTAAATCCCTTAGAATCCTGTTGGAGAGGTTATCATATATCACATAAGTCATTTTATGTGATATATGAGACCTTGATTACGGACATAAAATGACTTTGACAAATAGCAAAAGGAACTTATGTGATATGTGAGATACAAGATAAAATTTCTAAGTTACGAGGACTGAGGTGGGATTTTGTGACATGTTGGATGCCAAAGAGGAAAATTTTGTTTGGCTGTGAATTTTGGTAAATGTGATTTTTATTTAAGCATAAAACAGTAACTATCCTCATGTTCCCAATCGGAGTATACACATTCAGATTTGAGCTTTCTGTGAGCTCCTTTTAGAGTTCATGACAACCCACTTTAGATGATGTTCCCAGTTGGTTGCTAGGTTATTCTGTCACTGAAGCCACAATAAAAGTCTCCTCCCTAGGTTCCTAGTGAATTCACATTCCACAAACAAATTGTCCCTGCTCTCATCTTGAGTTTGGCATAGTGCACATTTTGTTTCAGCGAATCTATCTGTTGTTAATAACTTTCCTTGTAGTTGAAGCCACACAGTGATTCTTGCTTTAGGCCTGACATCATTTTGGAAAATCAAGGGCTTCCAAATTACTCTAGGACAATCACCTATTAACTGTGGGTATATCTGCCTTATGATGCTTTTTCCAGCTCTAAGGTTGTCTTGCACCTGTTTAAGGATTTCTCCAGCTTCTAGGATTTGCCTAATGATCCAGCATGCCTATATATTGTGGTAGCTTAGTTTGCTCCATCTGTTGCCCCTTTATGTAAAAAGTATGCACCCACCTAATCCACAGCTTATCCTGCTTGTGGTCTAGGTGCCAACATGATTTAACAATAGCCGCTTTGTTCTAGAGATGCAGGTTAATTAGGTTCAGACCTCCTGGGTAGACAAACTTTGTCCCAGGCCACTAATGCTTTTTTGGTAATCATATTTGCACCTGACCAAACGTAACTCCTACAGTAGGCATCAATTGTCTTCAAGACTTTAGCGGGCAACACAAATGTTGTGCCCAATACGCTTGAATACCAAAGAGTACAAATTGTACTAGCTGGACTCTACCAACATAGGAAAGTTTCTGAGCTGTCCAGGAAGAAATTCTAGCAACAATATTATCTATTAGAGGCTGCCATTGTATTAAGGAGAGCTTTTTGGTTGACAACGGGATGCCATGATATTTGGAAGGCAGATCACCATATATAGCCCAGTCTTAGCAAGATTCTATCCTTTTCACTCTGTAAAACCCCACCAAAATAGACTGAGCTCTTTCCTATATTAGCCAATAGTCCATATGCTTTAGAAAACTATTCAAAACATTTATGTATAACACACACAGATGGAAAATCACCTCTTGAAAATAACAACAAGTCATCAGCAAATTCCAAGTGTGTGATGCCCAGCCTACCACACTTTGGGTGAAACTAAAAGGCATTTTAATCTTTCAGTTCATTCAAGATTCTACTCAAATACTCCATATCAATAGCAAACAAG